CAATCGAATAACAAAAAGAGCAATACAATACGAAAAAAAAATGTTCTAAATAATTCATATTTTATTAATTATCAAATATCGAATATATATTTCAAAAGTTTACATCGTTAATTCCAATTTGAATCGGCATGTTAGATTTGGTCATTTAACAGCACTGCATGCGCTGCCAACTCGCTTTCAACAGTCCAAGCAGCCGATACACGATAACGATAAGCGCAATTGCGCACGCCTCACTTTGCAACACTACTTACCAGGCTCTCCCAACTCTGCAGCGACTAAATCCCAGCAATTCTCTGAAGGCAATCTTTTTCTATAATGTTCATTACTTTCATCATACAATATCGGCTGATTTGCAATAGCGCGGCACAATTTTACATTTGATTTATATGTAGACATGGCTTAGCCACAGCACGCACACACCAACGAGCAATTTCAGTTGGTTTTTATATTTATTTCACAGCAAATACAAATCGAGCGAGAAACTTGCCGACACCAACACGCGTCGTATGTAAAACGAACTGACACAGCTGCGAAACTGACACACACACATACGCACGCATTCACTCATATACATTCTCACGTACATTCCGTCAGAGAGCGCGAGAGTGCTGAGAGAGGCGAATGCATTGGTGTTGGTGTGGCAGACGCTAGCTAAATTGGCAGGCCAAACTGGGAGGGTTGCATTGTTGCTGCCGTCGGCGATTATTCTTCGATTGTTATTTATATCCAAATCAAGATTGAACTGGAGTTTGCTAAAATTTTTTGTTTTTGTGCCAGTTAAAAACTTGTAAACGTTACTTCATACTTTGGTGAGTAATATTAATATATTGACTAACGCGGTTATATCTGTATTATTAAGCGCTTGAAGACCAGGGCTACATCACACAGCCAGTTCTACAATACATATATCTCTGCCGATCGAACATCACTGCCAGCTGTTATTATTGTTAAACGACTCGCTGTAGCAACGACTTTTAAGCTGGCAACGCCGCTCTTCATTCTCTCTGGGAGAGCAGTTGTCATTGTGTGCGTGAGCAGTAGCGTCGTGTAATTTATAAATGGTTTAAGGGTGTTTTAACACAATACTTTACAGATCCCCTCGTGTTTTTGTTTATGCTGACAGCGCCTATGTAGCGATTGAGTTGCGTTTTGCCGGCAAACTAGCTGTGTACGACAACATAAATTCGTTTGTGTATGTATGGTTTGTATGCATGTATTCATAGTAGATGCCAGTAAAGTTCAGTGTGTAAAGCATTGACTAAATGCCATTTATGGAACGTAAACTTGACAGCTGATAGTTGAACATTCTAGTAACTAAACACATTGGCATTACATTTACTGTCACATTTTCAATTCTCTTATCAACGCCTTACAGCAGCAACATCGTCAGTAAATTGCTGAGAGTGAGCGCGAGAGCAAACGTTAACCCAAATAAACTGTAAGAGTGTGTGAGCAAGCGAGCGTGCGAACGAAACTCAGCAACAACAGCAGCAGCAACAGCAATTTCACCGCGGCAGCAACAGCAGCAGCCACAGCGACAACAGCAACAGTAACAATAGCAGCAGCAACAACAAAACAAGTGAAAAGGCAAGAAACGGACATAACGAACTGCAGGTAGGTGAGCATATTGCAAGCCAGCACCGCGAGAGCTGGCGGATTTCAATAAATATAATTGTTGCTGGCATCCAGCAGAAAACGCGCGAAACAGCTGTTGCGCCCTGCAGGCAACAGAAACGTCCGAAACAGTTTCTGCATGAGCGTGGAACAACTGGAATTCGTTTCTCTTGTCACCTGCACGCCACGGTTTGTTTTGGCTTGCTTGAGTGAGTGAGTGAGTCTCTGCGTATGTGTGTGTGTGTGTGTGTTTGTCTGTGAAGAAAAGAGAGCGCAGAGAGCGACGTTGACAGTTGTTGCTGTGGAAACGGACGCAACCAAGCTGCAATTTGGTTTGAGAGTGTGTTGCTGCGCAGTTGACGGACGAGTCGAATAAATATTTGTTGTTTTTGTTATTTTGTAGTGCACGCAGCAACATCTGCAGCAACAGCACCAGCGGCGACAATATTAACAACAACGACAGCAACAATATGAACACACGACGCAGCACGGGCAGCATCAAAGCAAACAAAAGGAACCTCAGCCGCTTATATGTGGCAACGCTTACCACAAAGACCATAACACCAGAGCTGCATGCAGTGAATGCCAAGATCTGCCGTCTGGTGGAGCAGCATCCCTGCATGTACGATCGCTCCCATGCAGCGTACATGCGCAAATCTCTTGTGGAACAGGCCTGGGTGGAGATATCCAAGGAGATGAATGATACAGGTAAGTCTAGATTTTGATGCAATATAGAATTTGATTTTCATTTTCATTGAAACTCTAATATTTGTTGCAGTTGACAATTGCAAGGAGCGCTTCAGGAATATACGCACTAGCTTTGCGCGATCCATCAATGTGCAGCGCGGCTCGAATCGCGTTAAGCCTTATTACCTCAGCGAGGAGCTAGAGTTTCTCAAGAAGCACATCACACCCGGGGTGCCGGTGCCCGTGAAGGGCCGACGCTCGCGGGACAGCAGCAATCGCAGAGGGGACGACAATGACGAGTACGATGACAACGACGACGAGGATGTGGGCGCTTTGGTCCACATCAAGCATTCGCTTAGCAGCGACGAGCACGAGAACGAGAACAGTACGGACAGCTCGGAGTGGGTGGCTGAGGAGCATGCGCGTGAGCTTGTCGCCAGCCAGTTGCAGAACAAACCAGAGGCTGAGTCGCATCAACGGAGCGACGAGGACGAACAGAAGCCGAAAAATCTATTGCAGCCGAATTCAGTGGCTCAAACTTGCCCTTTCCCGCCCAAAAAGCGGCGACGCATGGCCGTCGATGTGCCGACCAAGTCAAACGATGTAAGCATGTGCATAAAAAGTCTTATATGTATATGTATATGTATATATTATATACCCTACTACAGCTGCCTCCCCCTCTGCCCTCTCACCTTTCACAGCAGCCAGCTGCTGTTGGCGCCGACACGGATGAACACAGCGTTGACAACAAATCCTCCATTCCGGACTTCGATGATGCCTTTCTGCAGGGCCTGCGTCCCGAAATGAATCACATGGACTTCCATCAGAAACTCTACTTCAAGCGCCGCGTCTACGAGCTGCTCAGCGAAATATTTGAGGGCGGCACAAAGGCGAACGGTCAACCACGTACCAATGGCCAGGCCGAGGCCGCCCACTCCACCATTCCTGTGCAGCACCTGGGCCTGTTGGGTCGCTCGCTGCAACTGCCCAAGCTGGCGCCCAAACCCTCCAAAGATCTCTAATTAGGCATAACAATTGAATCGCCTAGATATATGCCCAAAGATGGCCGCAGCTGCAGACGGCGCTGTGTTAACCATTTCGAATTTACGCTGTACAGTAATTTCCACATACCCATTGCCACTTGGGTATAGTTGTAGTTGTAAGACGTTACGATTTTTAAAATGTAATATTTACATTAAATACACATATTTTCATATAAAAATGTTTTCATTGTTTCGCATAAGTTCATATATTGTTTTTAAGTGGGTCAAGGAATAGCTCAAATGATTTGGGGGATTTTATTATATAGAGAAATATTATAATTTAATAATGAATAGATCTAGCAATTATTTTTTAGATAAAGCATTGTCTTTGTTTTTATGGAATCTACCGAGTCGATGACCAGGAAGTTACGTTTTGAAAGGACATAAATGACATTATAGTCAAATAGTTCCTTTGATTTGTTTCTTTCAGGATAAATAATTGAACTCTTGATTATTTCATTTTTTTTTTATGGATAAATTATTGAACCTAAATAATCACATAACTCATAATAATTTCAAATATTATTAGTTTACAATTAGCAGATGATTTAAAATTTTATATATTATCACCTTCTGTTTCATATTGTATACTTTAATTTTAAAAATAAAATATTTTATTCTTTATATTTTATATATCGTATTTATATATCATTATCTAATGCTCTGGTGAAATTAGTATGTGGCAGGCTGAAGAAGACATGACAGATCCCATAGAAAATTAATATTTTTTATCAGAGCGACAAGCTGAGTCATTTGAACGTATTGATTTCAGGAGATATGTATGAGAGCTATAAAGAGCTAAGAGTACTATTGTCAATTAAAGATCGTATGCAATATATATTTTTAGATACAAAAATGGTTATAAAAAAGTAACAAAAAATAGTAGAAAGCAATATAACTACGTTTTAAAAGTCCTAGTCAAAATGGATTTCTTCAGTTTTAAGCCAAGCTTTAAAGTGTTAAAACGCGTTGCATACTTTTAGGCTTTCCAGAAATACAAATGTACATTTAACAATTTTCAGAATATTATGCTTTACCCCGAAATTGGTTTAAGAAGACAACTCAGCTTATACATTTATATAGCATCATTAAAAGATATATATATTATCCAATATTTAGATTTATATTAATTTAGATTTATGATTCAGGAAAAAAATATCTATATGGGGATACCAATTCAGTTATGCCCCAATTAGCGAACTATTTAACTTTGAGGGTATATATTTTTCAGTTTGTATGTTTACCATATAAAAATATATTGCCACAAGTTAAATTCCATTAAAAAGTCATTTAAAATATTGAATAATTTGCATAATATGGTTTATTTTATTTATATATATATATTTTTTAGCAAATACTTTTGTAAATGTAAACATTGATTTTTGTTTGCTTTCGTTTAAACAATAAAATAATTATTTATATATCGTTCCCGCATAAATTATGGCATAAAATATATAAAATATTATTTATTTAATTTGATTTGCTTCAAACTTTTGCTTTTTTTTTTTTCGTGCACTCAGAAATCATGTGTAAACCAATAATATGTAAATGAAAATACCACTGTTACAAAAATTTTCATTTCTTTGTATCGTTTGAGAGAATTAAATACGTAAATTAGTTAAGATAGTTATGTACAATCAAGGGATATATAAAATATAAGTGTATATATGTATATATATATTTAATAGAGGACGCAGCCCCAATTCAAATTAGAAAAGTTATATCAATTGCACTTTAAATTATTTAAATATATATATATAGAGATGTATATATGATTACGATTACATGTATATAGATCGCTCTCTAAATGCAGAAACAAAACGTCGCAGCTCGCCTGCTCTCTTCCCTCTTTCTTCGCTCTCTCTTAAAACTTAAAAAATTGTGGCGCATTATCATTATCAAGCTACACTGTATATAGAATCTAGGCCAATGTAATTTTGACCGGACCCAGCGGCAGCTGCTTCATATAGTTCCAGGCATCGACGCGCGTCATTCTCGCCGTTGAGGCACCATTAATGCTAAGGATCTCGTCGCCGTTGCGCACCTGATTGGTCTTCTGGGCGGCACCACCTGGGGAGAAAATAGACTTTAGTAGTTGCACTCTGGCTGGAGCTGGCACTTGACTTACCCATGAACACCTTCTTGACAATCAACGGACGATTGCCCAACGGCGAGTCGAAGCCGCCCTCAATGGAGAAGCCCAGTCCACAGCTGTCCTTGATGATTTCCACGCAACGCGCACCAGCGCCAGACGCCACGTCTTCAGCTGCAATAGCAAATGGATATTTATGAGGATTCCACTAGATCTTTGGACTTCAGATCACTTACCCTGCGCACGTATCTCCGCGGCAATGGCATTACGTGCCTCTGCTGCACGCTCCAGCAGCTCACTGGTGCTCAGCTTGGCTGCATCTCCGCGAGAGAGCTGACGCCTTGCCCGAATGCCCGCAATGGTCAACTCTGCATCGTTGCTGCTCGCCTCGTCCAGCAGACTGGCCGGCTGTTGCGGACTGCTCGTGCCCGTGCTGGGTGTGCTCGGCGTGCTGGGCACGGTGCTGGCGCCACCCTCATTGGACACGATGTCCAGATCCAGGTCGAGCGATCGCGATGCCTTGTGGTAGTTGCGTTTGCGCTCATAGTCCAGCTCAGTCGGCTTCTCATTCAGTGAGCTGAGCGAGCCCAGCGAAGAGCGTTTCTTATTCAGGGGCTTGATGATCAGCGATTCGGAGCGCGTGGCCACGACGACGACTTCGGGACGAGGTGTCTGTGGAGGGGCAGAAAATTAAAGATTAGTTATATAAATAGCTGTATATATGTATATGCATGCCCACCTTGAGCACGCTGATCGATTCACGATGTGTTAGGCCTCGCATGCTCATGCCATTGACGGCCAAGATGCGATCGCCCTTCTTCAGGCGTCCGTCCTTGGCAGCGGGCGTGTTGCTCAATATTTTGTGAATCTGGCAATGAAGAGGATGCAATATTAGTTTGACTCATATATAAATGAATATATTTATATGGAGGACTCACGGTTATTTCCTTAGCCTCATAGTCGGAGCCACCGGCTAGTGTGATGCCAATGCTGCTCTCTGGCGTATCCCGCTGCAGGACTATGATGAAGGCTTCCGGTGTCTTCAGTGGCGGATCGGCCTCCTCGACAATCTGCTGCACATCTTGTGCCGTGATCAAGCTCTGATTGCTGCCCAACGATGAGAAGCTGCCGAACTCCGTGGCCGTCTCCTGGGTGGTGCTCACGTTCTGTGTGGTCGAGCTGACGCCCGAGGAGCTGGAGGCCAGCGAATCCAGCGAGCTGAAGCGCTCATGGTGCGGCTTAGCGTTGGCCAGGGCAACGCTCGTGATTGCCTTGTGCACGGGCAATGGAACTGGGGGCGTGGCCGCTGCTGCAGCCGCCGCCGCGCTGCGCTCAAATTTCTCGCGCAGCTCAGCCGTCGTCTGCGACTTGCTGGCACTGCCCAGGCCCAGCTTTGGCGTCTGCGTGCGCTGCGGCATGGGGCAAATCACAGGCTTGGCCTGCACCACGCGCAGCTTGGCCTGCTGCACGGGATCGGCCTTGAAGCTGGCCTTGCGCTCCTCATCGATGAACATGGCACTGATCTTGGCCGGCGTATCCGAGCGCCGGCTGCTGTCGTCCGTATCCGAGGTGAGCTCCACATAGGCAGCCACATTGATCAGCTTGTCCACCACCAGCTGCTTGGCCAGCTGCTGTTGCTGCTGCTGCTGCTGCTGTTGCTTGTAGTTAGACTTGAGCCGACGCCCGTTCAGGACGCAGGCCTCACCATCGGTGCTGTCGTTGTCGTTATCATTGAAGTTCTCCTGTCCGCGACTCTTGGCGCTGCGGCACTTGGCCGAGGCCAGGATGCTCTTGCGATTGCTGTTGGCACTGGCATTGGCATCGTTGCCATTGCCATTGGCATTGGCGCTGCCATTCAGCTGGCACTTGAGCACGCGCCGGGTGAGATCCACGGTGGGCGTGCTGCCCAGCGAGCTGCAGCTGGCCTGCGAGCCGGCCGACGAGCCCGACGTCAAGGTGGAGGTGTTGGAGCTGGCTATCGAGGTGTTTGTCTCCGAGCTGAGCGTGCGTGTCAGCGCGAACTTCTCCGGTGGCGTGGGCACGCGTGCCGTATTGGAGAACACGGAATCGGTGTCGCTCTCCTGATCGGCGAGGAAGCTCTGTTGCAGCGGCAACTGTTGCTGTTGCTGCTGCTGTTGCTGTTGCTGTTGTTGCTGTTGCGGGGTTGGCCGGCTGGGCACGCTCAAAGTGCAAGCTAGCGATGTCCTGGGCGGCTTGGCAGGCGGCTGCGAGAGCTGTGTCTCCAAGGGACGACGCTGTGTGGCCGTAAGGAAGCTGCGATAGCTGCTGCCATTCATGTTGCTGTTGCTAATGTTGCTGGCGTTAATGTTGCTGCTGCTGATGGTGCTGTTGCTGGCCTGCCTCAGCGGACGCATCTCGCCCAGGCCGCTGTCCGTCGAGTCCTCGCCACTCGCCGCCTTCACCTGACTCTTGATCTCGGGCAGATCCAGTATGGGCTCCAGCAGCTGCGGCCGCTCCGGTATGACTAGGCCGCGCAGCTTGGACAAGCTGCGACGCCGCTGCTCCAATATGTTGGTAATGGCCGCCTTCCGCGTGGCCGCATCGCCCTCGCCCGAGAAACTGATGCGACGCTCCATAGCCGAGGAGGTGATGCTGCTGCTGCTGCCGCCATGCGTGCGACGTGGCAAGGAGGCATAGCTGTAGTTGTAGTTGTAGCTGCTGCTGCTGCTGTTGCTGCCGCCGCCGCCGCCGATGCTGCTGCTGCCGTTGCTCGGCGTGCTCAGCGTGTGCAGCGAGTACATGGAGTCGGCCACATGCAGCTGCGGCAGCTGCTTGGCCAACTGGTACTGACGCTGTGCATCGTTCAGGTTCTCCACGCTCATGGCGCGCGTCTTCAGGGAAGGCGCTGGGGTCGAGGAGGCCGCCTCCAGCAGATTCTCGCTGCTCATGTTCAGTGGCTTGCGAGAGAAAGTGGAACTGGAGCTGGCTGTGGCTGGAGCTGGCGCAATGGCGTCCAGTTCGTTGCTGGATGAGAACATGGCTATTTTGTCGCGCACCGATTTCTCGGACTTTTCGTCTTTGCGCCAATCGCTGGGCTTGCGCGGCGCACTGGCGCTCAAGGAACGTTGATAGTCGCGCACGCCACTGCCGCCAGATGGCGCTGTGGCCGCACTCTCTGTGGCGCGTGCTGTCGGACGCGCATCCTCCATATTGATGACCAAATCCTGGCGATACATCTTACGCGGCACGGTTGGAGGCGGTCCCGTCTTGGGTAGCGGTGGTGCAGCGTCCAATTTGTTGCAGCTGCTGCTGTTGTTGTTGTTGTTGTGCTCGAAGCTCAGCTTGGGATGCATTATGAGCGGCTCACTGAAGTTGGGCGGAAACTCGTGGCCATCGGGCGGCAGTCGGGAATAGGTCGGTGGGGATGCGTAGCTCAGGTAGTCCTGCACCAGCAGCTGCTTCGTGGCTGTTGCTGTTGTTGTTGTGGTTGTTGCTGCTATTGCTGGGCTGCTCAGCAGCTCCATTTTGTTGTTGTTGTTATGCTTGGGCTGCAAGCTTGGGCCGAGCGTTGGGCACGAATTGGATGCGGACGAGGCCGTCGAAGTCAATGTGGAAGTGGAAGTTTTAGTCGCGCTCGCTGTGGCTAGTAGAGGCTTCTTGCTGCCAGTTGCTCCTGCTCCTGCTGCTGCTGCTACTGTGATGTTAACTGTGCCGATGCTGTTGTTGTGGTTGTGGTTGTTAAGGGTACCAAGATCTGTAAAGGGAAGCGACAGAGAGAAGGGGAAAGGCTTTGGTTAGCAAAATACACGAGGAGTAACAAGTGGATAAAACAAAACGAGGATATACAAGTAACTGGGAGGGAAGGTTATCGATAAGTGCAGGTATCGATAGGCACACGCGTAACTCAATAGATTTATAAAATATAAAATATACGTTATTTGCTTGCAAATTGTTGTTGATTATCAATTGTAATTTAGGTGAATATTATTTAAAAAACAGTATAGCAGGATACTAGATTGATAAATCGATAAGTCCAGCAACAAATTGTGAAGATCTGTATAAGTCCTATTGGTAAGTGACATAATAAATCGATGAATCGATTAACTTTATAGAAGACAGCTAGCTTGATTTGCCTTATCGATAAGAGTCCTAAACTTCGAAAAAATGCAATGAACAACTTATTAAGTTGTATTTGAGAAACCAATTATTCGATTAACAAATAATCGATATTTAATAAACACAATTACTGGCAAATTTATTATAGACATTTAATAGGGGTGAATGAGATCGAAGAATTGACATAATCATAGAAATTCTAATTGATCGATAACGATTATTACTTTGATTATATAATTGGTATTGCTAAGAGGTTAGGGCTTAGTTAAGACACATAAAACAAATCGTAGAGGTTATCAAAGGTTTCAAAACTTGTTGAGGATTGTAAATCACTTGGATATTGTTTTTGGTCTTTACAGGTAAACTGAGTTTGCGTAGTAAGCTGTGAATTGAAGATTTGTGCAAGAGAATTAAAGAAAAAAAAAAAAAAGAAACAGTTTAAAAAACAATTTCCAAAACTTATGTCTATTAGCCGGGCGCTAAGACTATAATTATAATAAGCCAAAAAACAAAAACAAAAAATTGGAAACTGAAAACGGAAAACTTTCGCCCAAAAAAAAAAAAAAAAGCGAAACAGTTGCCATTATGCGCTAACCCCTCTGCGACTTTAGGCACATCTTACGTATACTCCAAGAGCAAATAGATATATATATCTCAACTACTCTTCTAGCTGAGGGCAATTAAAAACCGCAAGAGCCGCAACATCTGCAGCAATATACATAATAATAGCAATAATAATAATAAGTAGCTATCATAATGCCAGAGACGAGCTGAGATTTAAATAAACAAATTATGGATAAACAAAGCTTTGTCTTAACTGAAAACGGAACAAAGGCAAAAAAAACAAGTAAGAAAGCTCTAGTCGAGACTGCTCGACTACGAGATCCCCTGAACCCTTGGAGCAATAGATATTTCAATAATTTTTCGCGTCTTTCAGCTTATACAAGAAACACGCACACACACACACACACGCACGTACGCACACACAGGCATACATACACAGACAGGCATACATACAAACACACGCATACAGACACACATACACACACACACGCATACATACACAAACGCATACACACACACATACACAAACACATACACACACAAGCAACCACGCATAAACACGCATGGGCTGCAGTGTGCGCTTACTATGAGAACTTAATTGTTTAATAACTTTTTTTATAGACGTACGATCTTCATGAAACTTTTAGATTATGATTATAACATGAATATGCATGTAATTGCCAAAGCACAAGTCTCTAGTATTTGAAATACGCTTTTTACAAAAGTGAGGGTGAGGGGGTGAATTTAGAGGTGGGGGGTAAATTTTAACAAAAACCGAAATTGTATAAATTGCATATAAGCATACATTAAAAATTTGGAGACTTTAGCAATAAAGGTGTAGAAGATATAATTTTATAACTGGGTTTCGATAAGGTTTTTTATCGATAAAAAAAGATCGAGATGAGTTATCGATTTTTAATGATAAACTTGATATGCGCGCTGTAATTACGGACATTTTAAAAAAAATTTGAAGTCTCTAGCTCTTATATCTTCTGAAATCGACGCGTTCATACATACGGACAGACGGACAGACGGACAGACGGACAACAGACGGACAGACGGACAGACAGACGGACAGGGCCAAATCAACTCAGCTCGTCACCCTGATCAAGAATATATATACTTTGTGGGGTCTGCCACGCCTCCTTCTCCCTGTTACATACATTTCAACAAAACCATTATACCCTGATTTCCCATTGAAAATGGGTTCAGGGTATAAAAAAAAAAAAAAACGAAAAACAAAAAGCGAAAGTTTTGCTAATGAAGAATAGAAAAAGTTTTGGTTTAGGTTGACAGATTTTTGTTTGGATTATTTCTCCTTTTTTTTTGGCAACTTTATTGCGTATTCGGGTCAATCGTTAGGGCGAGTTGAGCACAAAGAAGATGTGGAAGAAGAAGACTCTAGTCTGCACAATTTCACTGATTGAAATAAGAAATTGGACTGCCTCGAACTAGGCGTACGCCCACATATCACTCACACTTCAAGGCATCTTCACATACATGAAGTAATTTGCATTTTTAATTAAGCCAAGACAAGAATAAGGCAAGAACAAAAAAGCGAGGCTATCTTTCCATTAAAATGAAAACCGCTGCGTGCTTCTATTTTTTATTTTTTTCTACACTCTTTGTTTTTTTTTTGCTGGAAATTCTTTAATTCTTAAATTTTTTTGCGGTTCGTTGTTGGGTTTTGTAACTGAAGTTCTGTGCGCAGTGTTAATGAACTTTCGGCTAGCCAAAGAGCGGCTAAAAAGAAATCATGTACGTATAATATATGTACATATATATATACGTACATATATATTTAAGCCGCATGTGCAGAAACTCTGGCAAAAAAGAAAGAACTGTTGAATGTTTAATATCTAAAGGGCCTCAAGGGCGCCGAAGACGCAGACCTAGAAAGTGTTTGCGCTTGTTTGAAAGCCAGCCAAAGAAACCCTGAGGAATGCAGTCATTTCATTTCATTCCATTTCGTTTCATTTCACTTGATTAATCAGCAATCGATAAGTGCGCAAACATTTACTTATCGATGAGGCATAACTGTCACATATTTAACATAGATATCTGAATGCATGATTCAGCGAGACGAGTGACACAAAGTCTATTGCGGCGACTACGTCATGGCTGTCCACTCACTCATGGCTAAGATTAGATTTGGTGTAATATTTTGTAGTCATGTCACTTGGCACTTGGTTATCCCGCTTGGTCACCCCGCCAGCCATTCCACTTGTCGGCAGCTAATTGGCTTTCATTATGGCCACATAATATTTAATAATAATTGTTATTATTAATCTAAAAGGCCCTTTGGGCGCCCATTGAATACGCTTAGCCATTCTGATGCCACGCTTAATTAATCAAATTAGCCAAAGTTGGTGGGGAATATGAAAAAAAAAAAAAGAAGAAAAACGAATTCCCTGAACCTCGACGAACTCTTAGACTGAGAGATCGAACTCGCAGGCCTAAGACAGGCGGCAACAATTAATCTTCAACTCTCAAGTGTAACATGAGGCGCCCCTCTCGGTTAGGACTTTTGATATTTGCCAGCTGGCAGTTGGCAGTTGGCAGCTTGGCAGCTTGGCTTTTTCTTTGTTGGCCAAAAAGCCGAGCGGAGCGGAGCTTTTTTTTTTATTATTATGTATGCATATCGTGGCTGGCCGGCCACCGATTCTTATCTAATGAATGTTTTATGTAGGCGCAAATGAAAAATAAAAAATAAAAAAACAAAAACAAAACCCGACTTGACTCGTTTCGTTCGGGACACCTGCCACAATTTTATAATTTGTAATCTTTTCTGATTGCGTTTCCCTGGCTTTATTTTTGGCAATTAAATAACACCGTTGCTGGAGCTGGAGCTCACAGCTCTCCATTAATATATAAATATATATATATATGTATATATACATATATATATTCTCTTATTTTTTGTGCACCTTTAGCTGCCCCGCTGTGCGCTCTGAAACAGTCGACTGGCTACATTTAATTGTAATCTTCAGGGGCTCTCGGCGAGCGTTCGCCATGTGAAAGGTTAAGAAGATTATTAGAGGTTCAAACTTACAAGATCAAAAACAATAAAAAAATAAAAATAAAATAAAATTGGCAATGGGAATTTGGGATTCGAATTCGAATTCGAATTGAGGAAATGAATGGCGGCCGTGCACACAAGTGTTTCATGTCCAACGATCAACTGGAAAGTCGTACAATTCTCGGTACTCCACAAATATCAAAAAACGATTCTTGAAAGCTTCGGCGCGAGGCATTTCCGTGCTCGAGTCGACGCTTTTGAGTACATGCCAAAGTGTCGTCTTTAATTAGAAGCGAGTGAAACCAAAGCGACGGCTGTCGACGCTGTTGGGAATCTCAATGCTGAGGAACGCTAAGCTACGCTTTAAAGTTCTTTGGAACTGGCTGGCATAACTCGAAACTTGCTCTAATAACTTCCGCTGCTGTGATCAACATGCGACGATTATTGCATAAGACTCTGGGAGCACTTGGCGAGCACTGGGCGAACTGTGCGGGCACTGCAGCGCCACCTACCGCTGATAATTATAAATTGCATAGTCTTAGACTTGACTTTTCCCACAGTTTTCCTCAATGAGTTTTCACAGTGCTCCCTTCCATTTGGCTATGGCAGAAAAAATTCTGTAACAAATTGCGCGCATTTAGCGCACAAAATGCCACTTAGAGTTGCGCCCCTCTCTGCGCTTCTCAACGTGGGAATTGCTGTTGAAAATCGGCTTGCGTGCTGCTTACCGTACGTAAATAATTGAAATTAATATAATAAGTTTTTTTTTCTCCTTTTCGTTTTCTTTGTTGTTGTTTTGTTTTTGTACGCTTTCAGCGATTTCTTTAAAACATTTTATCGCTCGCATTTTACTCGTGTCGGCGTTCCCTTTGACGTCCAAGAGACGTGAAACAAAAACAAAAGACCAGAGAATAAAATGGTTAAAAAAATGCGTAGATTGGTAGCCCGCACATTTTTCTACATGGCTAGCATTCTGCGCTGATTCTTCGTGGTTTCTGATGCTTTTTATTATTATTATTATTATTTATTTTTTATCTTCTTTACTTCTTTCAGAC